AGAGCTCTGGGTTTAAACCTACTGAGAACATGTTGTCACCCCCTGATTACTTCATCCCAACCAGCTGCTCAGTACAGGATTTCTCCATCTGCCTTTTTGTATAATCAAGATGTGGTCTTCTACTTCTTTAGTCTTTGTTTGGTACGGTATAGTACAAAAAATGTAAAATGATACAGCAACATATAGGCATAATGAAGATGACACGATTCTATTTGGTATCTATAACCAAATACCTAGCCAATAACTAATGACATGGGGCATTAAGTCAACATCTTTGCCCAGAATCTTGTTTATTTACTAAAACACACCACATATAAGGGATGTAATTAATTCAAATAAGTATATGTAAATATATCACTTTGGAGTGAAGTATTGACATAACTTTCAATCGATCTATATATACATGTATGTTATGTGATATAGTAGAAATTCAATGGAAAAATTGTTTATAGATTTTTTTTTTTTAATTATTAAATACCTGACAAAGCAAGGAATTTCTTTAAATTGATGCCAAATCCTGTAAATCCAATATTGCATAAAAGCACTCCTGCTAACTGATTTGCAGCACCATCTGCAATGTCCTAATATAACCAGAGATTAAAAAACAAATCTATCTCCTATCCCATTTAACTTCTTTAATAGCTGACAAATCTCTAAAAACCCCACAGTGTATATCATCATATTGCCTTACCCTGATCTGGATTAACCACAAAAATATCAGTCAACTAAGCAAAATGTAGGCAAAATGTAGAGCTCTCCTCACATCAAATTGCTGAATAGACAGAAATATGCATATACATTTTTTTTGTGCTTAGTAAGCACATTTTTGGTAGGCAGTATACTTTCAGCAGTAATACGGAAATTAGCGAAAAATTTCCTTTCGCCCCTTCTTTTTTTATAGAGCTGAAACAACTGGTCAATTAATCAATCAACAAAAAAATGATCAATTAATCCGACAATTATCAGCAACTATTTTGATAATTGATTAATGGTTAAAGTCACATTTTAAGCAAAAGTGCCAAACAATCCTTTGTTGCAGCTTCTCAATTGTGAGAATGTGCTGCTTGTCTTGCAAATAAGATGTATGGCAAAGATATGATTTATGAAGAATTTTTTCTACATTTGGGTTACATAATTAACATAGTTAATCTATCAGTGTTCAAACTCATCTTCAACTTCAAACACCACAATATGAAGGGAAACTACCCTTTTTTACACATGAATACATTTTTTTCTGTAGAAGCCTTTGTTATTTCATCCTCCTAGTGGACCATCTCCATTTACACAATCTTTGGGCCAGGTCAGTTCCACACTGTGCAAAACTGCCTTCAGACCTTTTGGCTTAATGTACACTAGGAGACAATGCTCAGGGTTTCTTGGTAGATACAGAGATATCTATTGCACTGCTTTGATTACTCCTTGAAATCACTGCAGGTTATAAGTGCCATCTTTTGATTCATTGTCCTATCTTACTCAGGAAAAACAAAATAGTTAAATGACAAAAAAAAGCAAATGAGGAGGTAATAAAACATATTTATCATACAGGTGTGAAGATAAGCAGACTGGGATTAGTCGCATTAAATCTGGTAAATTTCTGGCAGTGTGGGTCCAGCTTTAGAGAGATTTGGACCACATTTGGTTTAGCTTGGACTCTGTCCACAGAGTCTAAAACAACCACTCACTGACCTGGCAACAACAATCCCACACTGCAGGCAGCTGTGTGGTTATGACACTGCTGTGACTGCTGTGTGCATGCGTATTTTCCTTCCATATAAAAACTATGGGTCGTCTTACGTACACAGTCTTATCTCACACTGCAGGAGGCTGGAGATTTGACACTGTTGGTATGTGCATACGTGAGGTCCTTCACATAAAGGGCCACAGGTTCAGCTTAGGTCCGCTTTATGAGAATGAATGCTAAACTTGCCACTACCTATACCTATACATTATATCAATACTGTCACTGAGTTACCTCAACATTCACAATCAAAATTTTTTTTAGATGAGTAACATTAACACAATATTTTAGCTTGGTAACAGTGTTAGACCTCCTTGGGGACCCAAACGAGGCTGTGAATCTCTAGTTGTCAAGCCAACAAGAGAATAAATAGTAAAACTAATAGTTTCGGCAATTTTTTTTAAGCAAAAATTGCTGAATAATAGGTAAAATGATTGATTATAAAAGAAAATCATTCATCAATAATGAAAATAATTGTTCATTTCAGCTCTACAACTTGCTAAAATTATTGCAGTCTAATATCAAAGCCCTGCAATAAACCCTACCTGTATGTTCAATTTTTGTTGAAATTGTTTTAGGAAGGTGTTGATTCAACTTTATAGTAATTTTGGAAGCTGCAGACTGTGGTGGCATTGTCTACCTCTTTTATATCAATGAGGTTGGGCGAAAAGTTTAGAAATACCTCCCAGTAGTATGCAACACAGTTCAACAACACGACAAACTGCAGCCTCCAGGATAACCATGACTTTCAATCAGTCTGTTGTCTGTTGTATTAGACCAAATTCATTTTAGCAAAGTGCACCAACACTGTCAACTGAGTGTAAAGTTATAACTGTATCAATCCAAAGTGTATTACAGCAGCTGACTCAGCAACTGTTTTACTAACATTTTTCCAACATCAGCACCACTGCAAAGATGACCTTTAAGCCAGTCTGTTTACACACATATCTGCTGTCTTTTACACAATAACCCTGTTGTTTTGCTAACAAGTTAAACTTTACTGAGCTACTCAGATAAGACCATACATCATGTGTAGTCTACAAAGTACCTGCAGATGATTAAATGTCACTCGTTGGTGTTGTTATTATTGCCAAAGTGAAGTCAGAAACCTAAATACATGAATACAAAGCAAAAGACCATTCTTGACAATTAATGGTTTACCTTTGAAACTTAAGTATATTTTCAATTTATAGCAGTATTACCTTTCTGCAAAGAGTTTTCAGGCATTTTCCACCTCTAAATATACAGTGCATAAGTATATTTTTGTATTTCACAAGCACAAAACCACACAAACGCTTCTTCAAGTCAGCATGTTGTACAGAAGTGACAGAGCCTTCTGTAGCACAGAGTAACTAAGGAGAGTTCTGTTTCGACACATTAAATAAATAACTTCCTTTATGTCCTTCTTGAACACACATCTCAGGGTTGCACTGACATAAGCTTAGATACATAATACTGGCTTTGATTTCCTATTTTTTTCCTCAGCCATTCATATAGCTTTTACTACTATTTCTTGTATATATTGTCTGTAAATATTTTTTGATTAGAGCTGCAACTAATGAAACACCTATCACACCTTCCCAGAGCCAAAAGTTATGTCCAAAACAAAAAAAATGTAATATAATAATAACAGCAGGCAGCAAATGTTCATATATGAGAATAATAATATTACCTAATATTTGGCATTTTTTGCTTAAAATTATGGATAAGAAAATTTGCCCATTCATTTTCTTTCAATCAAATAATAAATGTAAAATATAAAAATAATCAATTTATAATGATCAATGCTGTTTTAATTAGCAATAATAGTCAAGAAAATGTCAATTTAACAGGACAAGATTTAGAGCTGAAACTAGTGGATGATGAACTGATTAGTTGATAGGCATAACATTTTTGAAAATCGATTAATCATTGTAATAACTTTTCAGATTTGCTGCTTATGGTCATGATTCACATGTTATTTACAAGATTTGTATAATATATATTTATATCATATATGACATTTTCATTGATTTTTATGATATTGATTAGTGAATAGCTTTTGGTTTTGGGATGTTACAGCCCTACCACTGACACTTATTTGATATTATAGCTGAAAATTTACCTAAATGATTAATCATTGCTTATTAATGTTCTGTTATTCGACTAATCAATTAAACATTTCAGCTCTACAATGCTGAAATAGTAACTCTGAACGCATCTTAACAGAAATTTTGATAGTTATGTCACACTATATATGTGTGAATCAAGGTGTTTAAGTGTATGTGAATGTGCACAGCAATGCCCTACAATGTATATCTGTAATGCATGACGGTTCCTTCACTTATGCCTATAGCACACCATATGGACATACCAATCCGTCCTAATTCAGGGCAACGGCCGGGTTCGATTATGCAATATGGAAAGGATTTCAGAGAATCCAGAAATGAAAGTCAGTCTTCACATACTTGAAACGACGTAACTGAATCTATTATTACACACAAAAATCTAATAATCAGGAGTAGGGCAGCCAAAATAGTTTAATGGCTGTAATCACTGTGCCACAAAACACCAGAACATTCCAGCACAGACACTTCACTGTAACCGAGCAGAGAGCATCCGTGTAAATAACGAAGCTTTCTAACAACAGTCATGTCAGAAAACGAAACTAAAAGCTACAGCTCGAAAGAAAAGCTACTCTAGATACCTGAAACACAGGATGTATATTTCTGAACGCTGTGGATAATTACCGTCAGATCCAGGTGATTCTGAATTGTCCATTGCATCTTACAGTCTAGATGCAGAAGCAATGAGATTCACAACTACTAACTAAAACAACTGTAGAATCAAATGTCTGCTAACTGAAAACAAGAGGCATTGTTCAGTTTTGCTAGAGGCATCCAAAAAAAATAAAAAACAATCCCAAATATTTAATTATTTAGGGCAGTTTTTCTGTCTCCGAGTTAGCTTGCTGTGCCTACGAAGGAGCCACAGATGTGATGGAACTAACCGTTAGCCGTTAGCTCCCAATGAACACAAATAAAGCCACGAAGGGTTTTTTACAGCCACTGTGCACTTCAATATTACCCTCTAAACAAAAAACGAGCACAGCAGATAAACTCACAAACCACCTGTAAGCAAAAATATTAATTAAACAGACAACACAAAGCGTCTGGCACAGTTAGCTTAGCTGGCTAGCATTAGCTACTAAGATGCTGAGTGAACCAGAGGAGCTGTTAGCAGAGGAAGCTAATCAGTCGCTCCGGGGTAGCAGTTACCTTACCAGGTCAAAACAAACAGGAACGCGGAGCAAGATGCATTAATTTCTTGTTTGGGTTTTGTGGTCGACGTCTGGAGAGACGACAACTTCGACGAAATCAAAGCAGGCGGTGTAGAGATATCTTCGGTAACATTGCAAAGACACCCGAAAATAATGTGGTTCCTGTTTTTTTTTTTTTTGGCTCGGACTGGCTCGGATGCCCGTTTGCAGGTCGTTGCTTAGCGAGTCTCAGACATACGTACACACACACCCTCCAGGGACGAACCTGCCAAATACTGACCCCGCCTCTTTCACTCTGAACACAGCGAGAGACAGCTGCCAAATACTGACCCCGCCTTGCAGACAGCAGGCAGAGACAGCAAACTTAAAACATAGCCTAAGACAGATAATTGTTGATTTCTTTGATCTCTAGTAATAACTCTTAAACCAACCAAGTGTCACTGTAACAAGTTATCGAGTTTATTTGTATAGCCCACTACCTCACATTCTGTACCCACTGTATCAGTTTGCTTCAATTTTGACTTAATCAAGAAGATATTGTCTGATTGTTTTATATGAAGCACAATTTGACCAAAAGTAAAATATCTCTGTCAGCACGATTTTACAGGTTGGGCAGGTTTACTTGTCTCCACTCAGAGAAAAGACTTTGATTGTAATTTAGGTGAGACTGATGACAAACTATTCTTCACAGGGAGAATTTTACCTTTAAATATTACATACATTTACTAATAGAAGCATTACTTATATGTATACTATGCATTTTACATTACATAATGTATATTTGTACGTGGTACACAAGCATTAGAGGCCCCATTAGCAGTAAAATCCTGACAGGACCCTTGTGGACATGCATTAAATTTAATACTATCAGTTACTTTTATGTCAGTCTTTAATAAACTTTTTCAGGGTTGCGTTTATTTATACTGAGATCAATAATGTTTTGTTTTTTTGTGTATGTGTGTGAGATCATACATTTAGATCTTCATATAACTTTTAATATAATTTGCAAAACCAATATCAAATGAACTATTTTGTAATTCTGATTTAATAACTGAAATCAAAATAAATAATCTTATAAAAATTACATGGGTTGTTTTAACAGGGACTTCTTTTTATCTATATTAACTCAATATATGTGTGAATCAAAGTGTTTTTATGTCCATTATATTGTCACCTGCAGTTAGCCTGATAAAAGTCAGCTGGTAGATTCCGCCACCTTGTGGTCTGCTTCCCTCACAGCACTTCGGTTTGAAGGAGCTCTCTTTGTCTTCCCTCCCCTTTACACATCGGCTACAACACTGTTTTCTCTTTGTTTCAGTTTTGATTACAATAGTTAATTCAATGAATCAAATGCAGATATGAGCTGCTCTATAGACATTTATTGCTGTGTTTATTGTTTTATACTCAATTGAACGTCTAACTGTGTGTTTGGTGGGCCAGTCCAAACACTCACACTCCACATATCTGTTACCAAACCAAGATTTAAATAAACAAAAGCAAAAACAACTACAATGCAGTAACACAATATACATGACACTATAAAGTCTTAAGGTGAATTCGTTCTCACTAACATATAGGCTATACTGGTCCATTTACAAAATGCTTCTTTATATATATTTATATATAAGATATAAAACAAGAGTAATGCACATTCTTCAAAAGGTAAAGAAAATGTGTTGTTTTTGTATATATGCAGATATATTTGTGTGTGAATTCTGTTTGGTGGCAACAAAACAACACCTAACAGCCATTATTACAAAGTGTATCTACAGCATACAAAATAATAACACAATTGACAGTATTGTTCAGGAGATCTACAGGAGGAGAGATCATAAAAGAGCAGAGTATCAAAACCCATGCGGGGCTGTAGAAGACAGCAATATGATCATTAGCAGTACAAATGAATAGCCTGTAATATATCTAAATATATGCTGTATTGTAATTAATGAGTGTTGTTTTATATGTGAACAGTGAGTATGATTTGAGTTTTCAGCCAAATCCTTTTTCAGAGTAAAACATTTTAACCTTGTGCACTGGTCTAGTGCTTATTTTCATTACATCACACAGTCTGGAGCCTGTTTTAAAGGATAAGTTTGATAATATTCTGTATTTTTCTTATTGTCAACAAATCCCATGAACAAAACAAAACCAAAAATGAATCCTACCAGCAAGTATTGTCTGTGTATCCAAAGCCTGATATAGTTTCCTTCTGTGTCATAGACCTCCATTGTTCCTTATTACCATAAAAATGTGCACTGCAGTTTATTTTCAGTCATCATTGTAAACATTCAGTAAAGAACCAAATGAGTATAAATCCACGGCTGAAAATAGTCCCCAACAAATGCAGACTTTACTCCTGGTTGTTATTGTTATGTTGGCTAACAACTACAGTGCCCACCTGTTTTAGGAAGTTATTTAGCCTTTTTTAAATATAAACATTTTTAAGATTAAAGATTAAGTCTTCTGTAGGAATGAATGGGATATTTTCATGGAATATTGGTTTACATTAACAAAAATACAATATCACCAGCGTTATACTTTAAGGATGCTATCATAGCTCAATACAGTGCAGATGTAGGCAGTTTGTATTGCTTCACTGGGCGTTTGTTTCCACAGGTGGAACTAAAAAAGTCTTTCAAACAGTCAAAATATATAACCGATCTTCTTTTGATGATGTAAACTGCAGACAGTCTTGCTTTTTTAGTGTTTTTAATAATGACTCCAATCCACAGACTGTAATTTATGTAGCAATGGCACATATGAACTATTTGTATTCTTTAATATCTACTGAAACTACACCCTGCAGGTTTAGTGAGATAGTATTTTACAAATTGTGTGCTGCAGAGTGGTGTGTTTGTTTGAAACATACAACTAGCATGGACCTGATAAACACACACACACAGTGGTAGATCTCCTCTATCTGACTGAACAATAGAAACGTACGTATCATATGTGACCACTGCCTCTCCTCTACACATACAGAGAATCGGATTCACTGAGAATCGTTATCTCTGCATTTCTACTATAACCTCTTAAACACAGGTAACCAGATCCTAAAGGTTGGCATTGTACAAATATTATACCTGTCATGTTGAATACAGAGTAGCGAAAATCTTAACAATAGAAACACCTACACTGTATCTGTCAAAGGAAGGTTTGCTTGGTTCTTACGAACGACACATTCTTCATTTTGATAGAAGCCTAAAACCCAAAGCAAAAGAGAAGTCCCTTTAAATCATATCTGAACAAACCTACAACTGTTTGAACACAGACGGTGGTGTCTTGTCCACTATTTGACAAGCATAACTACAGTTGTAAAGACTGGAGTGGTGAGTGACTGTAACTACATTGATGGCCGACTAAAATGAGCCCACCAGCTTATATACGAACTAAAGATATCTCTTAATGCGTTTGACAGATCTCAGACAGAAGAGGGAGAAGTACAGTTTGATTGTAGGTTACATCTTGCACTTCATAAAAAGAGTCCTGGTGGTGGTGTTTTTTTTGTCTCACTTGATCCACGTGTGCTGGGTAGCCGATGTTTTAAGCTTCATACACCCTGGGGAAAAAACAAAAATAGAGTTAATTTTGCAAATAACTGTCCAGTTCTCTCTCAAAGATTCACTTCTTTGGCTGCCTGCACATTGGATTTTTCTGCCAGGGTCATCTACCGCCTGCACCAGATGTTTTCCTCTAGTCTCTGGACAAACATAGATCAAATGTTTCTTGTATTGAATGCACTGGCCTTGTGGATGTAAGTGGAAGGTCGCAGGTTTAATCACTGAAATCGAGTTCCTGTAGAAATGTGCCTGTGTACTTATCAAAATACTGCCTCACTACCTCTCTACTGCATTTTCATATATGTATTAATATGTATAAAAATACTTATACATCAATGATGTTCACTCACTCTTTTGTCCTTAGCTACCAACAAATGTGTAAATAAATATTATCCCACCTCGTCAGGCATGGGATTGAAACAAAAAGAAAACTGTAACTGTTAGAAGTCCAAAAAGTAAAACTTAAAATGTAATTATTATTAACATTTAATAGATTGGACATAGAAGCGACAGAACCCAAACCAAGTACGTTGCAACCACATGGTCAGTGTTCTAAACCCAGAGGCCACACTAAGCCCCATGAAATGTGCTTTTAAACTAACTTATTATCAGACTTTGTGCCTAAGATTATTACCTGTGCTTGTCCTTCCAGATGCGGAACCATTTGACCAGATTCTTGGTGCTCTGAAGTTTGGGATGAAGACAGTACTCCTGCCCTTTGAACCGAGCGACGTTCTCCATTGTCACGCTGAGGAGGGGAGCAGAGAAGAAACAACAAAAGGAGTTATTATTGAACCCAAAAAGTCTAATGTTATTACCAAAATATTTTCGCCTTCACCACCCTGATGAAGACTTGGTAGCCAAAAACGTTTGGTGAATAAAGTATGGTGTGCTGGAAAAGAGCTGTATGACATGTGCATTCCTAAAGTAAGAAATTAACAAAGTATTTGACGGAATAATTCAACCAAACACAAAACTTTTGTCAATTTGCACCTCATTTTAAACCCCTAGTGCAATCACATGGCTATAAAATAGTTTGATTAGGCTGCACAATATATTTGGACGCTAAGATGTCAACTTCAATAGTTTGAGAGAGGTTTGAGATCAAATACAAGAGCCCACTTGTACTATGTTTTTTAAAATGAACTTTGGTGGAGCTGTATAGAGTAGAAATGTCGATTTGAACTATTTTAAACCATCTGAAAGCTAGTATGAATCCTCTGAATAGAAACTGGTCAAGTTGTAGCGTGGTTGACATGTTTTTGCCCCAAACTTCAGCTGCTATTCTTTGCCTCCCTCAATAACATTTCCACAGTTAAATGCCCTCACAATTCAAAAGATCAGCTTGCACTCGGAGGCCAGTTTCTTGGCAATGAAGCAATATTATGGAGGTGCCACTTAGAGATGTGACATCTAAGCTCATTGAATCAGTCGGTCCGTCTGTAACCCTTTGCTTAAGGCAACGGCAGAGACAGTCTGCCTGCATGTGGCATATTCAGGCCAAACAAGAGAAATGTGGGAAAAAACACCCACCATGCCATGGGGCCTTTCCATCCAGTGACACACTCAAAGACTCACTAAACCATGAATGTTCAATGAGCTGACTGCAAGAGAAAAGACTTGACTCTCGATAAAAATGTTGCATTCAGT